CTTCATTTTACTTCTTACAGATTTGATCTAGCTCTTCTAGTTTAGCTGTAATCACAAAAACCGCAGCGACACTTTCATTTGACTGGTTAGATAACATGTTTAACCAATTCACAATTTGTTACAAAAATTTTGCCACAACTATTAAATTAGTAAATCGTATAGTTGATGCAATCTATGCAGAAAATTAAATTACATAGTATAAAATCAGTAAATAATTGTAATATTTTTTGTTTTTGTTTTAATTGCGTCAGTTTATAAACTACCAATAATTATTATTACTAATACTTATTGATCATATTGATTATTTTTAATCGTACTTCATTATCTAATATGTCAGTATCAAAGCCACCCAAATGCACTGACAAATAGTTTTGAAATGTAACTGTATTTTATTTTTAGTGTTTCTTTTAGCAGTTATATTATATAACTTATATATTTGTTTAGCAAATTATTATCTGATCAAGGTTATACAACTCTATCACACAATACAGTAATCATAATGCCATCTTGAAAATAATATGTACACTGGTAATATAGTGAGCATTACATAACACTTACCAGGATTACCACCAGACTCACTTTTTCTTAAAATGACCTTGGTCACTGATGCCAAGTTAAGATAATATGAATTACCAATTATAATAGTATTATTAGGTATGTGTGCCTTCATTGGTGCAAATGTTAAGACTAATTGATCATAGTAATTAGTAACGATGTATTTAGTACACTGTATCAGCGACAAACACAATGTGCTAAAAAATAAGTTCTAGTACATTTGGGTCACATTTTTAATGCTTTTTTATCAGTAGTTTTTAATACCACGTTTGAGTGCTTTTAAGTGTTTACTTATTTTTTCACTGATTATCTCAATTACTTATAAATACGGTTAAAAATGTTATTTATTTGTTATAATACACATATCATTTAAGTTAAAATATTTTAGTTTTATTATTTTTTGTAATTTTATAAAATGTTTATTAAAAATACTATTTTATTCTTATTTGCGTTAATAAGCATTGAATACACGGTTTGTATTGAAGTGAACACAACCTCTGGTGTAGTGAAAGGTCTGACTATCGATGTGTTGAACACAAGTGTTGACCAGTTTTTGGCCATACCTTATGCCGAACCCCCGGTAGGGGTACTCAGGTTTGCCAAACCGGTGCCACTCAGACATCCCATTCAAGTATTTAATTGAAAATTTTAAATAACAATAAAAATTAATTTAATCACAATTTGAATAAACCTTATAATTATTACTTTAAAGGACATAATAGACGGCACAGAGACTGGAAACTCGTGTTACCAAAATGTTCCCGACTATATGAAGGATTTTGTCGGCAATTTAACCCTAAGTGAAGACTGTTTGGTATTAAACGTATGGACACCACATGTGAACAAGAATTCAGTATTGAAAGCCCCCTTAAAACCGGTCATGTTTTATATACACGGAGGGGCTCTCATATTGGGCTCATCTTTTCAGGAGATATACAACGGCACAGCTCTGGCCACTAATGATGTTGTGGTTGTGTCCATCAATTATAGGTTAGCAAATTTTGGTTTCCTATACGGGGATCGGGAGGACGCGCCCGGAAATATGGGCTTTTATGACCAGTTGCTGGCTCTGAAATGGGTATACATTTTATATTTGTTTTAATTATAATTTTTATTTATTAATTAAATAATATATGAATTAATGACATAATAATAGGTTAGAGAAAACATCCATAAGTTTGGCGGAAATAGGGATCAGATCACTATATTTGGTGAGAGCGCCGGCAGTTGGTCCGTATCCGTACAGCTATTGTCTCCGCTATCCAACGGGCTATTCAAGAGAGCTATTATGGAGAGCGGCGCCCATATGTTCAATAAGGATAGGGATATAAAGACAGCGCCGGAAGCGTTAACTCAAGCTAAACAATTGGCCGTACATTTCAATTGTAGTCAAACACCGATTGAATGGTTAGAGTGTTTAAAACAATTAGACGCCGAAGAGCTAAATAGTGCCCCAATGGGCGCAGGGTCCATTGTCGCCACACTCGGCACTAAATACCTTCCGGTGTCCGCACACCAGGCCTTCCAGTCCAAGAAGTTTAATAAAGGTTTGTTTTCATTTATATGAAATAAGTATTAAAATTAATGTAACTTATTTTCAAATAGACCTGGAACTGTTGGCCGGTGTGTCCCAACACGAGGGGTCGACTATAGTATCGGCACTCATTCCGGTTTTGCCCAAAAATATAAGCGAAAAGGAGTTTCACGATTACGCGCAGGGATTTGACTCATTATTTCATAACCTAAACGCCGACAATATTACCACGTTTTACATGTCGTCCATCAATAAGTCGGATCCCGAAGCAGTCAAATGGCAATTGTATGACCTCTTCGGCGATCTTATGATTACATGTCCGACACATCAGTTTGCGGTCAATTATGGCCAACAGTCGGCCGAAAGTAATGTATATTTTTATGAACTTACATATCATAGGACGCCATCAAAACCGGGTCCAGACATGTTTGGTGTCACTCATGGCGATGAAGTGGCCTTTGTTTTTGGTCTACCATTTCTTTATCCCCAGAAAACCGATACAGAAGTAGACAAACAGTTTAGTCGGGATGTCATGAAAATGTGGACCGATTTCGCTAAATATGGGTAAAAATTTTATAAGAATTTGTTTGATTTTTTAATGTTTATTATATTTCAATTTTTTAATGACAAAAGAAAACCAACTGTCGATTGGCCTAAACTTATTGACAATAAAGTGAAAGATTATGTGCCAAAAGCCAAAGAACTCAATCCATACAAACTTTGGCATAATTTTCACAACTTATTCAATACAACTTGCGATGGCTTTTGGAAACATTATTATAATTAATTTAAAAATCAATTGATTGATTATAATTATTTAAATAAATATAAAATAATTCGATTTAATAAATTTTTACAATAAGAAAAACCTATATTAAAATATTTATTAATGAATTCTGTAATGCAATTCACACATTGTTTGTACATTACATTTTGCAATAATCTATTTTTACATTTAACAGTAAAACTTTCAAAAGTAAACAACGTTACACCATATAAACCGTTACACAATCAGGGGTTGGGAGGGGTTTGCCATAGGATTTGCCTATAGAAGAAGACAGAAGGGGACAGAGTTTGTGTCAGTACACATATTTTACATATGCAATGCATTTCACATTTGAGTCATACAGAAAATGTTTGGCATTAAGGTTTAGAAGATTCCCTAAATATTACACAATGTTTCCCAAAAATAAATTATTACTTTTAAATTTATTGGAAAATTTCCCAAAACATTGGGAATATGATTGAAAATAAAAATTATTGAAACTTTATATAAACGACTGATTGGTTGTGTGGAGAGAAAGTGAGACAATGCTTGAAATCAAACGGTTTTATGTTTTGCTTTCAATCCTTAATCTATAAATTGCGGCAAAATTTTGTTTTTTCTTTCATTTTAAGTGTTTTTTAAAATTATTTTATTAAATCGATAATTGATTTGAGGTTTGAGTGCCGAAAGTGAACACAATTTACACCCAAATTGTGTCCACATTTGTAATGGGATTTCATTATCCAAACGTTTACATCAAATACCAATCAATCGCTTAATTATTGTATAATCTTTTAGTCACAAAACAATTTATGTTTTAATGAGTAGTTTATATGATTTGATGTCATATTTTTTGTAATATTATAAACAATTGATTAAAACAATTGATTTCTCAATAAATAATAGCAAAAGTTGTAATTATATTAAACATAAGATATAAACTAAAGTTACAAATAAAATGATGGCCACCGAAGACTCTTGGGATGAAATGATACACAAAGACATGACTTTCAATCAAATGTTACTTAAATTGAAAGCAATCAACAGTTTGTGTTAAAAGTTATACAAATTTCAGTGTATTTTAAATACAAATAATAGTGTTTTGAATGAAACAATTGAATCACTAAATCATAAATTATACCATAAATTACAGAATATTACAGAGAGAGAGAGAGAGAGAGAGAGAGAAGAGAGAGAGAGAATTAGTTATTTACCACAATTACCGTATTACCCCGCATATAGTAGCATGCACTTGTATGTGAGTTTTTACAAAAGTGGTGCACCTATATTCGGGTATAGATGCGGTAGTTTTTGGCACATATTTTACTTTCAATTGAAATTCACATATACCTTGAAATGAAAGTCATATGACTTATTAAAAAAGAACTCTAAAATGTGACTTTAAATGTTTAAAATGTATATGCATTTTCTTATATATAGATGGGTTTCGTGAATAATTAGTACATTAATGTGAAATATCTCATATAATAATGTCTTCAATTGATGAATCACTTCGAATAATCAGTGAATCAATGTATGAATTGGATATAAATTTAAAATCAGTGATCAAAGTGTGACAAAACAGAGAAAGAGATCAAAATTACACTAATTTAATTTACTACGCATAAACTAATTAAAAGTTTATAAATAATTTTGACAAACAATTATTAACGCACTTATATGTGATTATTACACAAGGCGTGCACTTATATCCGGATATAGGTGCGGTAGTTGGTGACATGTAAAATCTGTGAAATTCACTTATAAGTGCATGCATCTATATGCGGGGTAATACGGTAAGTGGTTTTGAACTAGTTTTTATTGAATTAAATGATCTTTGTGTTTTTATCACTAAAAATTTTTATTACAGACTGTAATTTACAGTTAATAATATCAAAGTCTATTATTTCACACAAACTCTTCATTGCATTGAATTTACTCTTCATTTCAATCAACGAAACACTCATTAATTTTGAACACATAATTATTTACAAATAAATTACAAATTAAATAATCTATTTGTTCATCAAATTATTGTCTGATTNCATTGAATTTACTCTTCATTTCAATCAACGAAACACTCATTAATTTTGAACACATAATTATTTACAAATAAATTACAAATTAAATAATCTATTTGTTCATCAAATTATTGTCTGATTAAAGTTACACAACTTTATTACGTAATACAACAGTAATATTGCTAAAGACAGGACTCAACCTTCTGAGCCTTATGCAATACATGTAGACGTATACTACAGCACTGCTGAGCAGTAGTGAGTGAGTGCCAAACATATGAGTGATGCACTGGCAATGCTAGAAAATAGTCTTATATAAGGCTCAGAAAAAATACTCTCACTATATTTATACAATCAATACACTTTATTCAAAATATACATTCTATTAATGTATTGAGTACATCAAAAACACCGGGATTCCCACCAGACACATATTCACTTAAAATCACCAAGGGCACTGATTCCAAATTAAGCAATTATGAACAAAAAATATTTTGGATATATGCCTTAATTATTCAATGTGTTAAGACTTTAGTTTAACATAGTGATTATTATAAAGTTGTAAAGTGCAATTGCACTTTATATTGCACTAAAAAATAGTTTTAATTTTAATGTGGGTTATATTTTAAGTGTTGTTATCAGACATCTTTAATACAAAGTTTAAGTGTTTACTTATTTTTGTACTGATTTTCTCAATTACCTATAAATACTGATAAAATAATTTTTCTTTATTAAAAATTAATGTAGAAATCATTTAAGCTCAAATAATTTTATTTTTAGTTATTTTTGTATTTTTATAAAATGTATATTAAAAACACGGTTTTATTTTTATTTGCGTTAATAAGCATTGAATACACGGTTTGTATTGAAGTGAACACAACCTCTGGTGTAGTGAAAGGTCTGACTATCGATGTGTTGAACACAAGTGTTGACCAGTTTTTGGCCATACCTTATGCCGAACCCCCGGTAGGGGTACTCAGGTTTNGGTCTGACTATCGATGTGTTGAACACAAGTGTTGACCAGTTTTTGGCCATACCTTATGCCGAACCCCCGGTAGGGGTACTCAGGTTTGCCAAACCGGTGCCACTCAGACATCCCATACAAGTATTTAATCAAAACTTTTATTGTAATAATAATTAATATTAATTGTAATACAATTTATCTTATATTTATAATTACTATTTTAAAGGACACAATAGACGGCACAGAGATTGGCAACTCGTGTATGCAATTAATTACCGATCAATGGATAGATTTTTTTGGAAATTTAACCCACAGTGAAGACTGTTTATTATTAAACGTATGGACACCACATGTGGCCAACAAATCAGTACCGATGGTACCCCTAAAACCGGTCATGTTTTGGATACACGGAGGGGCTCTCATATTGGGCTCATCTTTTCAATGGCAATATAACGCCACAGCTCTGGCAACACATGATGTGGTGGTTGTGTCCGTCAACTATAGGTTAGGACCGTTTGGGTTCCTATACGGGGATCGGGAGGACGCGCCCGGAAATGTCGGCTTTTATGACCAGTTATTGGCTCTCAAATGGGTATTAATTTATTATTTGTTTTAATTGTAATTTTTATTATTTAATTAAATAATGTATTAATTAATGTCAAAATAATAGGTTAGAGAAAACATCCATAAGTTTGGCGGAGATAGGGATCAGATCACTATATTTGGTGAGAGCGCCGGCAGTTGGTCCGTATCAGCACAGCTATTGTCTCCGTTATCCAAAGGCCTATTCAAGAGGGCTATACTGGAGAGCGGCGCCCATATGTTCAATAAGGACAGGGATGTGAAGTCCGCGCCTGAAGCCTTGGCTGAGGCCAAACAATTGGCCGTACATTTGAATTGTAGTCAAACACCAATTGAATGGTTAGAGTGTTTGAGACAATTAGACGCCGAAGAGCTCAATGTAGCCGCACTCGGCGCGGGCGCCACTGTTGCCACTCTCGGCACTAAATACCTCCCGTTGTCCGCACACCAGGCCTTTCAAACTAAGCAGTTTAACAAAGGTTTGTTTATACTGTATTTATATAAATAAAGTAATTACGTTAATGCGAATTTAATTACATAGATCTAGAACTGTTGGCCGGTGTGTCCCAACACGAGGGCACATTTTTATTAGCGATGAATATTCCGGATATTCCCAAAAATTTAACCGTAAAGGAGTTTCATCATTTTGCGCAGGCATTTGACTCAATCTTTCATAACCTAAACGCCGACAATATTACCACGTTTTACATGTCGTCCATCAATACGTCGGATCCCGAAGCAGTCAAATGGCAATTGAATGACCTCTTCGGCGATTTATTGATTACATGTCCGACACATCAGTTTGCCGTCAATTATGGCCAACAGTCGGCCGAAAGTAATGTATATTTCTATGAATTGACATATCATAGGACGCCATCAAAACCGGGTCCAGACATGTTTGGTGTCACTCACGGCGACGAAATGCCGTTTGTTTTCGGTCTACCATTTCTTTATCCCCAGAAAACCGATACAGAAATAGACAAACAGTTTAGTCGGGATGTGATGCAAATGTGGACCGATTTTGCTAAATATGGGTAAAAATTTGATTGAAATTAATTTTACTTTTTCAATTTTAATTAAATTAATTATAAATGTTTTAATTCATTGCTAGGAAACCAACTTTTGATTGGCCTAAACTTATTGACAATAAAGTGAAAGATTATGTGCCGAAAGCCAAAGAACTCAATCCGTTAAGACTTTGGCATAATTTCCACAACTTATTCAATACAACTTGCGATGGCTTTTGGAAA